ACACCACAAGACGTATTCCATGCTTTCGTTGCCCAGTCCTCCACACGATCACAGCCCCCAACTTCCTTATCAAAATGACCAACCAAGCAAGATGAGAGTACAGATTTCCTCCCTCCGACGGACTTCTCGTCAATATACAAAGACGGTCCTCGGTGCGGAACAGCCGACTTCACATCCCCAGTTAATGAAATTCTTGGAATCCTTGCAGTTTCCAAGTAAGATTTCATCGCGGAATAAAACAAAAAAAGAAGAAAGAAAAAGACAAAGTCTCTTATCGCTGTAAAAATCGCCCCTAGTGGGGTGAAATCGCCCATAGTGACGTCATTGCGCACTAAATTTGGGTTTACAATGGACCGAAGAGGTGGAGAAGAGTTTTCAAGCACTCAAGCAGATACTAACAGAAGCACCAGTTCTTGCTTTGCCGAATTCTGAAGAGGTATTTGAGGTAGATTCTGATGCTTCAGGCGTTGGAATTGGTGCTGTCCTTAGCCAACGAGGAAGACCTATTGCATATTTTAGCGAGAAGCTTACTGGTGGAAAGCTCAGGTATTCAACTTATGACCTAGAGTTTTATGCCATTGTCGAAGTTTTGCGACGTTGGTGGCATTACCTTTCTTACAAGGAATTCATCTTGCATTCGGATCATGAAGCTCACAAGTACATCAACAGTCAACGCAATTTGAGTTCAAGGCATACTAAATGGGTGAGTTATTTGCAGCAATTTACTTTTACTTTGAAGCATAAGGCTGGTACAATCAATCGTGTAGCCGATGCCTTAAGTAGAAGAGCTTCTCTGCTTGTGGTTATGCGTACACAAGTTGTGGGATTTTATTCTTTTCGTGATTTGTACGTAGAAGACCCTTACTTTGTGCCTATTTTGGAAGAAGCCAAATCTGGGCAGCGATAGGATTATTTCTTGCAAGAGGGATTTCTCTTCAAAGGCTTAAAATTATGCATTCCAGAATGTTCCTTGCACGAAAAGATCATAATAGAGCAGCACAACTTGGGATATTTTGGAAGAGATAAGAGACTAGAGCTGATTGGGAATGAGTATTATTGGCCTAACTTGAGAAAGGATGTTGCAAGGCATGTGGAACGTTGTCATGTGTGTCATAGAGCCAAAGGGGCTGCAACTAATGCAGGCCTTTACATGCCTTTACCAGTACCTAATTGTCCTTGGGTGGCCGTTAGTATGGATTTCGTGCTTAGGTTGCCTCTCACTCAAAGGAAGTGTGACTCTATTATGGTGGTGGTTGACAGATTCTCAAAGATGGCGCACTTTATTCCTTGCAAAAGGACTATGGACGCTTCTAATGTTGCTAATCTTCTCTTTAAAGAGATTTACAGATTGCACGGTGTTCCACATTCTATTGTTCAGACAGAGATACGAAGTTTGTTGGTCACTTTTGGTGGACTTTATGGAAGAAGATTGGAACGGAGCTTAATTTTAGCACTTCTTTTCATCCTTAAACCGATGGGCAGACAGAAGTTGTCAATAAGAGTTTGGGCAATTTGTTGAGATGCTTAACAGGTGACAATCACAAGAGTTGGGATTTAACCCTACCCCTTGCTGAGTTCGCTTACAACTCGTCAAAGAATCGTACTACAACTCTTTCTCCTCTTGAGGTTGTCTTTGGAGCAAAACCAAACAGTTTGCTTGATTTGGCCCCAATTCCTATTTCAAAGAAGGTCAATGTTAAGGCAGAAGATATGGCTTCACTTATGCAAGAAATTCATGTGCAAGTGAGACACCAGGTTGAAGCATCCAATGCGAAATATAAGGCTAGTGCAGATTGTCACAAGAGAAGGATGATTGTTGAAGTTGGAGATTATGTTTGGGCAATCCCATCAAAAGATTGAGTTCCAGCCGGTTCTTACACCAAGTTGAGGGATAGAAAGATTGGTCCATTTGAGGTGATTAAAAAGATTAATGATAATGCCTACCAGCTTAAGTTACCAAGTCATATTCGCACATCAGATGTTTTTAATGTCAAGCATTTGGTTCCTTACAAGAGCCATTATTTTGATGAGGATACCGACAACTCGAGGGCGAGTTCTTTCCAACACGGAGGACTGATGTAGCTGTGGACCCAGCAGAAAGGTTCTTAAAACATAAGGAACATCCAAAAAAGGAAAGAAGTGGACAAGGAGAACCAGGAATTTATAGAAACCTTTGATTTGTTTCTATTTTTTTCAGTAGCTTTAAATTTTCAGCAACTTTCCTATTTGATTTTAACTTATATATGGTAATTAGCTAGTCTTAGGTTTATATAAAGCTTTGTAATTTCTAAGGCTGGATCAGTTTGTAGTTGAAGAGATTATTATCATATTTTATAGCAAATAAAATTTGCTTTGCAATTCTTTGCAATTTCTCCTTTTCTCTTGCATCGTTCTTTTATTTCGTTTTACAATTGTTGTGAAGACGATTTGATCATCTCCTCTTGGTAAGGCAGCATCAAGAAGTGACTTGAATGTTGCCATTTCTGACTTCCTTGTCACAATAGTAAAAAGATAAGGTGATTAAGGGCAGCCTCGCCTAAGGCCTCTACCAGCTTTGAAAAACTACAAGGAGTCCCATTTATCATGACAAAAAACTTTGCAATTAGAACACATTCCTTCACCCATGAAATACACTGAGATCCAAAGCCAAAGTGTTGAAGTTTCCCACAAGAACCTCCATTTAGTTGAGTCATAGGCTTTCCTCAAATCCATCTTTAGAGCTATGTTAACATTAGAGTTCTTAGAAACAAATCCCTTAATCAACTCAGCTGCCGTAATCAAGTTATCTTGAATTTTCCTGCTCTTACAAATGCAGATTGCTCGATGCTCACAATCTTGTTCAACACATTACTCAACCTATTACCAAGGAGTTTTGTAATGATCTTATAAATCAGGTTACACAAAGAAATGAGTATAAAATCCGATATCTTGGCACCTTCATTCTTCTTAGGCACTGGTGTGAGGTATGTGCTATTAAAATTTAAAACCATCTGATAATACCTATTAGAAGTATGTTATATTAGCTTTACCTGATGGTGTGGTGAGTGCCCTCTTGCCCAGTTGTTTCCCAGACTCTTCAGGATTGCCCAGACAAACATGCTTTGGTGTTTGACTGCTATCACCTTGATAGTGGGAGAGTTTCACTATCCTGGGATGTGCATTTTGTGAGGAACTTTCAGGATTGGGAGATTGAGGAGGCTATTGGCTTTTTGGAGCTGTTGTATCGCCAGGATATTGAGGACGGATTTCCTGATTCTGTGGTGTGGATTCCATCTCCCAAGGGTCGTTTTGAGGTTCGATCTTTCTTTGGGTGTCTTGCAGAGGCTCTAGGGGAAGCGTTCCCATGGAAGGCTATTTGGCATTCTAAGGCTCCTCTCAAAGTGGCTTTCTTTGCTTGGACATCGGTTTTGGGGAAGATCTTGACCCAGGATAATCTTAAGAGGAGGAGACATGTTGTGGTCAATTGTTGTTGCATGTGTTTGAGAAATGAGGAAACATTTGATCATCTTCTTTTGCATTGCCCAGTTGCTTGGGACTACTGGACTTTGATGTTGACTTTGTTCGGGGTTCAGTGGGCTATGCCCAGGTCTTCCAGAGGTTTGGTTGAGGCTGGGAGAGGTTGTATAGTGGGGGCCCAAGCTCGCGACTTCTGGAGGGTCACGCCTTTATGTGTTTGGTGGTGTTTATGGCTTGGAAAAAATAGGCAATCTTTTGAAGGGAAGGAGACCCCTATTGGCGTGCTGAAATTCTCCATTATTAATACTCTTTTTTGTTGGGTTCTTGGGAGAAATTGTAAATCCATGGATGAGATTGTTTATTTTGTGGACTCTTTGAGAGTTTAAAGGCCCTATTTGGTCTTCTTGTTTTGTGGGATGTGTTCCCCTTTTGAACGCCTTTCAATACATATTTACTTATCGAGGGAGAGAGAGACTATTCATATGTGTTTCCATATCATATTTCTATATGTAAAACGAAATTTGGAATAAATAATGATAAAAATAGGGGAAAAAAAGGTGGTCTAGATTAATAAGAAGGTGCAGGACTCCCTACCACAATCAATTAAATGCAACACCTATTCCTAGGAATTTACGAGCCAATTTACAGGCTTCCTGAATTTGAGATAATTTATATATTTATATATATATATATATATATATATATATAGAGAGAGAGAGAGAGAGAGAGAGAGAAACTAGTGATATTAATTCTTTAAACTTAAATCATTATAACAATATGCGTAAGATTTTATAATTCAATAGAAACAAATTTGGAAGTGCAAGAGAATTTTGAGATCTCAGAGTTATGGGAATAGAGAAAATTGAATCTAGGGATAAAATGGTTATATTATGGGAAAAGTGTTCTATCAACATAATTAATTCATGTGAAGCAATGTGAAAAAATAATAATTTTTCGTTCCATAAATATGTCGTGTACATTAGAAATGACTTACAATTTGCAGTATCTATAAATTATATGTAACATACTATTTTGTACTATAAACAACACCAATGCCAAAGATCTATTCACATAAAACACCATTTATACACAACTTTAATAGACAAACTAGACAACTACAAAATTTCATTGGTTATAATTAGCGTAAGTAATTCTTCATAAAAAAAAAAATAGATGTTAAATATCAACAGAGACAAACATGGACAACCACTTTCAGAGTTGTAGATTTTAATAAACAACAATGTTTTTCCTAACATAACAGTTCTTCAGAAAAACAATTATGTTTTCCTACCATATCAGTTTTCCAGAAACAAAGGCCACAACAGACCATGTACAAAGAAAAATATTGCTACCCATTCACAAACAATAAGCATATTTCGCTGTTGATAGCACACAAACACCAACATATATATATTAGTAAATTATCCAACAAAGCTCAAAATAATGTAATACAAGTACACGGACATAAATAATCAGACTTTTTGCCAGAAAAAAGATAGAGGACTTCAAAGTATGCCAGCTGAAGCATGAAAGGGTATATGTACCTTTTCCTTTCTTCTTCTTCCTTTCTCAATTTCTCAATGGCATTTTTACGTTCACTTGATGCAAGACTCGGACTACGGGACCTGGGTAAAGGAGACAATGACGTACTTCTACTTCTTTGCCTCTTGTGACACCTAGGTGTTGGAGATCGACTTCTATGGAGCCTCGAAGTTGGTGAACGACTTCTACGATGACGTGAAGTACCAGAACGACTTCTTCGCCTGCATAATAAAGTACAAAATTATTAAAATCGAATTTTGATTGATTACAAATATCACGGATACACAAGTTTCCAAGAAAATTCGCGGTCTATTATATTATTTTTCCAAAATAGCAGGAATGCTTACCTCATATATTTTTAATTATGTAAAGAATTACAATTTTTATTCTCAATCTATTATTAACTAAGGTGCTGTCTGATAAAAGAATCTGAATTTTAAGTGCTTTAATACACAAAGATGAAAATCTGTTTGGTATTAATTGAATTTCAAGTGATGAATGTACTAAAATGTTGAGAAGTTAAAAAACTAAATTACGAAATTACGAAAACTGCTTAGTTTACAACTTTACCCTTAAAAGACTGTAATAATATTATTTGACATTATTTAAATATAAAAAATCTATTTCACATAATCTAATTTCATCTCAAACCAAACTCATTTTTGAATATAAAAATAGTGTAATGATATTATTAAAGACATTATTTAAATGTAAAAAGGCTATTATACAGTTTGTTTTTCATCTCAAACCAATTTCATATATTTTCTTTTCTTTCCTTTCCTTTTTTGAGAATTACACCAATATAATATATAGCAATCGGCAAGATAATCAATTAGGAAGAACAGAGCATCTTGAATTATTGCTTATTACTGCCTTGCTTTCTCAACTTTGCCCTAATTTAGACTCGGCAATTCTCTTCTTAAAAACACACGGTATCCAAAATATGGTGAAGGATCGCTTTATCCTTTGATGCTCAAGACTTGAAGATGAGACATTGAGAATGATGCATAAAACTCATAGACCAGTCAGCAAAATAATCACGTATGGAACTAAGCTTTTTATATGAGATCTATATATGTATCTCTGTATATAAAACTGTCCCTTCTTTTCAGTCTTTCTCTAAAACCCCTCTTTAAAATAATCCCCTTCATTAGACCTCGCGCCTAGGTATAGAATGCCTCATCTGGTTATATATCGCCCTAAATTTTATACCTTCATCCAAGTACATATATACATATATACGCAAATATAAATGGTATTTACTATTTACATATAACCAAGTATTTGTTATTCACAGATTCAATTACTCAAAGATCCAAGATTTATTTTAAGTTGTTGACAGATTCAATCACTCAAAGATGAGCAACCTTTACTTAAATGACAAATGTCCAGTGATCTACCACTGAAATTTGTAAATTGGAATCTAGTACGAGGAATAGAAAGATAGCAGTAGGCAGAAAAAGAGAAGGCTACAAGGAGGAAAGCACTAAAAAGTCTAAGATTCGATAGAACAATAGATTTGAAAGTCTTTATACCATTTGAGTTGAACACAAAATTAGGTATTGAGGTGATGATGACAAAAGTGAAGAGAGGGTTTTGTCAAAAAGATATCCATGTCCGTTGGAGAAGATGGGATCACAAGAAGGAAACATAGAGCATGTTCAGTGTATGCAATGATAACAGAGGGAGAGAGAAGATTTATTTCAGGGTATATTTGTCTATTAAAATAATATTTTAAAACTCAATCACTGAGCATATTCTGTCTTTAGTGATAAATGAACAACTCCTTATAAATAAAAATGTTGACCTTTTCTAAGTGATACTTAAAAATTAAGTGATATGCTAATTGTATTATCAAACGTACTTAATTTTAAAATCACTTTTATTCAGCTTTTTAAGTAAGTCGATTATGTCCCCTAAAACAATTATCACACCAGTAGGTTCTAGCCATCTATTTTATTATAAGATGGGACATAATTCTAGTTTCAGAGTCTCAAAATGCATTTATTGGGGGCAGGCAGATTCTGGATTCCACTCTCATTGCCAACAAATGTGTGGATTTTAGGTTGAGGAGCGGTGTTCCAGGAGTTCTATGCAAGCTTGATATTGAGAAAGCATATGCTCATGTTAGTTGGAACTTCCTGTTATACTTGTTGGGGAGGATGGGTTTTGGGGAGAGATGGAGGAAGTGGATTGAGACTTGTATTTCTTCTATTAGATTCTCTGTACTAGTGAATAGGTCCCCATCCGGCTTTTTTGGAAGCTCTCGAGGTTTGAGACAAGGGGATCCCCTTTCTCCTTTCTTATTTATTATTGTTATGGAGGCCCTTAGCAGATTGATAAGGAGAGCGTTAGAGTAGGGTTTTATCAGGGGATTCAGGATGGGCCCGGATTCAGGGCAATAGATGGATATCTCTAACTTACTTTTTGCAGACGACACTTTGGTTTTCTGTGATGCGAGTGTGTCCAAAGTCAGATATTTAGGTAGTGTCAGGGTTGAAAGTTAACATGGGTAAAAGTGTGCAAGTCCCTGGGACACATCGCTTGCTGAATCCCCTTTCTCCTTTCTTATTTATTATTGTTATGGAGGCCCTGAGCAAATTAATGAGGAGAGCAGTGGAGTTGGGTTTTATCTGGGGATTCAGGATGGGCCCGAATTCAGGACAACAGATGGATATCTCTTACTTTTTGCGGACAACACTTTGGTTTTCTGTGATGCAGATGTGTCCCAACTCAGATATTTAAGGTGTGTGCTGGTCTGTTTTTAGGCAGTGTCAAGGTTGAAAGTTAAAGTGTGTAACAATGCGCTAGTCCCTGTGAGGGAGGTTCAGGGGATGACTTCGCTTGCTTCGGTGCTAGGATGTGGAATGAGCTTCTTTCCTATTGTTTATCTGGGGTTGCCTTTGGGTGCTTTGGCCAGGAGGGTGGATGTTTGGGATTCAGTGATTCAATAGTTCGAGAATAGATTGACCAGATGGAAGAAACAATATCTTTTGAAGGAAGGGAAAGTCACTCTGAAAAAGAGCAATCTTGTCTAGTCTCCCAACATACTTCTTATCTCTTTTTCAGATCCCGTGCACTGTTACTGAAAGACTTGAGAATCTCCAAAGAATTTTCTCTAGGGTGGTCGGGGTGAGGAGTTAAGTATCATCTTGTCAGGTGGTTCAAATGGGTGGTCTTGGTTTTAGGAGGATAATCCCCTTTAATAGGGCGCTTCCTGGGAAGTGGTTATGGATAGTTGGTAGTGAGAGACATCGTTTATGGAGGGTTATAGCGAGTCGTTTTGGGGAAGAGAGAGAGGAATGGTATTCCAGGCCGGTTAGATCTGTTGCTGGTGTAGGAGTGTGGAAATTTATTAGAAAGGGTTGGGACAAGTTTTCCAAGTATATTAGGTTCAGAGTTCGAGGGGGTAGGAATGTTCGGTTCTGGGAGGATTGTTGGTGTGGGGACTGCCCGTTGTCTCGTTTGTTTCCAAGACTTTTTAGGATTGCTGCGGATAGACATGCTTTGGTAGCGGACTATTATCGGCTTGATAGCAAAAGGCTTACGTGGGATTTGCGTTTTCGGCGTTCATTTCAGGACTGGGAACTTGATGATGTCCTTGTCCTGTTGGATCTTCTATATAGGAAGGATTTGGACGGTAGAGGGTCTGACTCCTTGGTTTGGATGCCTTCTCCTCAGGGAGGTTTGATGTCTGGTCTTTGTTCCTTTGCCTCGCCGGTTTTCATGGCTCTAATTTCCCGTGGAAGATAGTGTGGCGTTCGAAGGCCCCTCTCAGGGTGGCATTTTTTTTTTTAGACTGCGGCTTAGGGTAAGATTCTGACGATGGACAATTTGAGAAAGAGAAGATAGATCATAGTTAACAAGTGTTGTATGTGTAAGAATGATGGAGAGTATGTGGATCATCTTCTTTTGCATTGTCCTATGGCTTATGATTGTTGGAGTCTTATTTTTGGTCTTTTTGGCATCCATTGGGTTATGCCTCGGTCTTCAAGGGAGTTGATTGACATGTGGAGGCGCCAAAGGGTGGGGGTCATGCTCGTGTCTGTTGAAGCGTGACCCCCCTTTGTGTTTGGTGGAGCATTTGGAAAGAGCGAAACAAAAGGTCTTTTGAGGGGGAGGAAACCTCCATTGTGGTGCTGAAATTTGCTATTATTAGTTCTCTTTTTAGTTGGGTGATGGGGAGAAATTGTTTATCTTTAGATGAGATTGTGGACTTTTTGGGTTCTTTGGGTCCATAGGGTTTTATTTTGCATTTGTTTTAGTTTGGTTCCTTGTATATCTCTTGGGATACGTTCCCCTTTTGAACGCTTTTTAATACATTTTATTTATCAAAAAAAAAAAACGTATATACGTCTTGAATTCTAGATAGTTTCCCATACACTGATGTTTAAAGACATCTCAATCTTGTTGAGCAAGCACAATTTTAATCAATAAAAAAGGAACGAGGAATCATATTATAGAAATCCTTGAGAAACAGACTGTAAGACTTAATAAGCGAGGAAACACAACCATCAACCAAGTAAAGGAAAAACCAAAAATATAAGAAGAGTTATTGGTCATAGAGCTAATATGCATTTACCTATAAGCAACTTTTCGTTAGTAGAAAAAAATCATATTTGAGCACAGTGCCATGAAGCAAACTATATACTCAGCTTCATAGTTTACCACAAGAAAGAAGTTATAATACAGGACATCTGTGACATGGTAAATCAGCAAACGTGTGAATCTGTTCTTTTGAAATGGCTTTACTTTTTTTTTTTATAAGTAAAATTTTTTAAAAGAGCGCTCAAAAGGGGAGCGAATCCTAAAGAAATAACACAAGGCCAAAAAACGCCTCAAGCCTTCAAAGAGGCCAAAAAAACAACAATCTCCTCTATAGATCTATAATCCCTCCTTGAAACCCAACAAAAGAAAGTGGAAATAATAGAGAGCTTAAGCATAGAAATAGGCTTCTCCTTTCCATCAAAATATCTCCGATTTCTCTCAAGCCAAATGCACCACCAAACACAAAGAGGCAATAGCCCTCCAAGCATCCCGAACGAGAGCCCCAACTGAAAAACCTCTCCAAGCTTCAATTAACCCTCTAGAGGATCGAGGCATGACCCAGGGAATCCCAAATAACCCAAGCTTCAAATCCCAACAGTCCCTAGCCATACTGCAATGCAAAAGAAGGTGATCCACTGTCTCCTCATCCCGCAGGCACAAGTAACAGCGATTA